CCCCACAAAAACCGCATGTGCCTCTCTCAAAAAACCCTTTGCTTAGCACCTCTTTCGATCCCAACGTCCCCATAAAAAATCTTTACTAATTCCCTCACCTTGCCTGTATTCTTAATTTCTAAATTCCACCATACATCTCCTCAGTGTGGGAACACTGCCATCCCGCAGTGTTCCGCGACTACTCCACCCCCACCAACGTTTTACCGGGTTTTTTTAACATTGAAAACCCCTAACAAAACCCAAAACATATCTTCACACTCCACTAAGCCCCCTCCCACCCCACCATTTGCGGATTCCCCATCACCTCCCCCACTCGATGACCCCTTTCCCCCCCCTGCCCGAATATACTCTGTTTCACATATAGTGCCTTCCCCTAGACCCTAATCCCTCAATCCCAATCCCCCCGTTTATCGCAGTCTTACCACATCTTTCCCCAACCCCACGCCCCCCCCAAAACTCCACACACAAACCAAATTTTCCCCTTTTGTAATTCCAAAATATCCTGACTTCGAAAGGGAAAAATTTCCGCCACTCCCACCCCTTGCTTAAATCGGTTTTTACCAAAAACCCCTTTGATGCAAGGTTCGTCCCCACCAATAGACCCCTGAGCCTACTAAAAGCTCTGTCATTACCATTCTGAATTAACCCTCCTGCTCCCCTTTGGGCATCTCCCAAATAAAAACCCAAAAATTTTGGGCCCCTTTCCATTTACCAGAAAAACCCCTAAAGTTTGTAAAGGGAAAACCCAGCAACCGGATTTCTGCTTATTAGTCTCACCCCCAGTGCTTCCCCAAAAATCTCAAGTACCCTTCCACTTTATTTAAATCTTCTATCTCTTTAAAGAAAAAAACGTTGTATCATTACATAACCAACAATTTTTCCCCACAAAGCCTCCACTCCCCCCCCAACCTTCCCATCCCACATAAACCAAAACATAAAAGGGATTCTGCTTTTACATGCAAAGAGTATTTGGGAGAGTGGACACCCTCCCTTAAAACCCCCCCCGCTTACGGGATCCCCAAACCCTAACTTTTACCTGTACTCCACGATGCGCCCCACATAAAATGTCCTCACCCCCCCACCACCCTCCCCCCAAAAACCATTTCACCATACTCCAAATCAAAAATTCCCATCCCATAATCATAAGCTTTTCCCCAATCCACCCCAAGAATACCCCTTACTATACCCGGGGAAAATCCCTAATAGTCCATGATCTACCCACATTCCTCCCCGGGACCCAAAACGCCCCCCCTGTATCCCCGACCCCATGCCTTTCTTCAGTCTATTACCTAAAAATTTTCGCAAAAACCCTTGTAACTGCGCACACAAGATATTGCTCGGTAAGCACTCAACTCTTTTCCCCCCTTCCCTTTTGGCCCCAAACTATGACACCTGTATTTTGCGATTTCCCCCAATTTCCCACTATTTAACAAGATCCAATCCCCTAGCAAAGCATTGCCTAATACACCCCAATGTGATCTAAAAAAATCTTGGTATCCCGTCTACCCCCCAGTGTTTTCCCGGAAACTCCCCTGAAAAACTGCCCTTCCCCCTCACCTCATTATACCACCCCCCAAACCCCCACTCTACCCGCTCATTTAAAAAAACACTATGGCCCCCCCCCAAAATCCCCTCCCGGGAAACCCCCCCTCCCCCCCTACCCTTTTCTCCTAAACCAACTATCGCATAGAGACTCTATTTTCCCGTTTGGATAGGACCCGCCCCTCTGGAACCCTCCCCCCCCGGGCTTGTTCAATTTAGAAAGGGGGTACTCTCTGTCGTCTGAAATTTACGTAAAAACAAACCGGACGCTTATCACCCCCAAATACGTCCTTAACCCCGCCCTAACCCTAATTGCATAAAACTATCATTATTAATTCAGCATTCTCTCCAAAGACTAGCCATGCACCCCCCCTACCACCCCCCAACTTTAACATCTTGCAATTTCCTCCGAAAATTTTTTGCAACCAAAAGCCACTCGCCTCTTCTCGTCCCTAACCAAAAAAAATTTAGTTATTTCGGGTTTTGGCCTGCATTTCCCCCAAAACTAAAGTCTATCCCCCTTCCCTAGCCTCCCAAAAATAAAACCCCCAATCACTAAAAAAAAGGCCCTCCCCCCTCCTTAAGACCTTACATTAATTTCCCAGTACCCAAAATAAATATGATCACCCATCCCAATCAGATCTGTATTCCCGCCCTGTGATCAAAACCACACATCGAAATTTTGCCCTCACAACATCTATACCCTGCAAATATAGATTCTTCAATTGCCCCTCATACCCCCTACGGCGAACGTGGCTCCCTAGGTATCCCCCCCCCCCCACCAACTCCAATTCATCCCTCAAACATCAAAACAAACCCGCCCCTCGGTTCGACATCACCCCTCGTTCACACAAATTTCCCAAACACCCCCTTTCTGTTATAGCAGGCAAACCTCTCAAGTGATACAGCAAACCTCCCCGACAAAATTTCTTTTACCTGGTATTTCTTTTCGGCATGTAAACCCCTCAAAACTAGTGCTTTCACCCCAGACCATCCCCCTCAGACCCTCCCACCCCCCCTCTTCCAACCCCGCACACAGGGGCGGTCCCTTTACCCTCCTGCTACCCCACCTTTCAAATTTCAAACCCTTTGGGCATCTCCCATATCCTTTTTACCCTCAACTCAATCGCCCATGCTCTTGCAAAAACAATGTCGACATCAAAACCCCCGTAAAAACCCTCCAACCAAAATTCTTGACCTCAGTCTTAAGTTCTTAACATTAAACATAACATCTGAAATTTTTTGAAAGGGGCGGCTTTCCCCTATGCCGCTGGGGTTTATCATGCACTTTTCACATTCTTTCCTTTGTCACTCGATTTTTCCTGTGCATACCTCCCCCCTCCCCCCCCACGTGCAAATCGGCGCACCTCTACCCCTTTGAGCATCGGCTCCCCCCCACCCCTGCCCATGACTTCTTCCCCGGCCTTGCCCCCCGGGGGGAAAACCTCGTCTACTCTGAGCAGCAGTTCTTTTCCAGAAGTTCCCCTTACACAATATCACCATCAGGCGAACTCCCGGGTACCTCCCGCCACACATGCTCCAGTCCTTTTTACCAAGTCTTCCTCCCGATTTGTGTCCCCCCAGCGCTCCGTCCCACAAACTGAGGACCCTTTTGACAAGGTCCCCCTCCCGAAAATCCCTTTTACCAAAACGCCCAAGAACCCCCTGGGTCGAAGCTTCCCGGATAAAGATCCTCAAACACCCTTTAAACTCCCCCCCCCCCCTGGGAAGTGCACAGTTCCGCTGCCGCCCCCCCCCGTTCGACCCCCCTCGCTCAGAAGTCAGACCTCCCGGGCCCCCAAGGCACCCGAGCCAGGCACCCAAAACACACGGCGCTGAACACAAGGGTCCCGAATCGAGGAGCCTGCCCCCTAGGCCACTGGGTTTCCATGTGCTATAAGAGCACACAAAGAATTTTTTTCCTTGACCAGAAGTACACAAAACCGTGTTCTTTAAAAGGTCATCGTAAAAAAGGAGGTATAGGCCCTTTTTAAAGACTTTTTAAAGGGGGTAGAAACCCTCCGGCAGCCTTTTAATGGACCATCCCCCCACCACCCTGATTGCAAGAATGGGAGTCCCCCAACTGTGAAAAAACTCCTGTAGACCATATGCCGTGCCCGAAGATACATTTTGTACCTTCCCCATGTAAAACGACATCATCCTGAAATTCACACCTGCGTTGTTTCCCGGTAAAGCTCGAAATTCTTGTTAGGTGGGCTCGTACAAATTTTACGAAAATTTTTGTCAAACCCTTAAGAGCGATGCCCTACAAATTTCCCCATTTGGGGAAACCATATGTATCCCTGATGATGTAGGGGGAAAAGGAGTCATCGTATCTCCACTTAATACCCAACCAGTCAATGGTAGTTTTTTTTCTCCGTCCTTACGTTCCGCCATTTTTTTATCCAAGTGAAAACAGGTAAATGCGCAAAAGCCAACCAATCAGGAGCGTCTGCGCAGCAGGGCCCCAGGCCCGAGAGCGTGCGAACAATATGACGATTAGAATATCCCTGTATGAGAAATTTCCCCACGAGGGTTTACTGAGGACACTTAAAATGCACTTGGAACGTAACTTAGAGGAAAAACGACTGAAATTAGAATTAAGACAAGAATAAATAAAGTAAAATAATAAGATTTGCAAACAAATTTTCCCCCCCAAGAAATAATGTAAAAACAATTAAAACCGTTTCCCGAAACCCCGAAATATTAAAACAAAAATTTTTTTACATGAAATATACATGTAGTAAATAAACAGTACAATGGGAAATGATGAATGAAACATTAACAGCATAACACTTACCTTTATTGGAGATTCTTCTTAGTGTATGGGAGACTGGAGGAGGAGAGAGATTGGATTGTTTACAGTTTGGAAGGGGAATCCCCTTCCAGCAACACCTCAGGTACCAATTGATTCTCTGGGGTTGCTTCTCTTCTCTGTTTCTTAATGCCACTAGGACCACCTTGAGAGTCACTCTAGTCCTGTCTCGCAAAGTAACTGTAGAGAGAGCTCTGTTTCTGGCATCTCTTTAACACTTCCTTAAAATGGCCCAAGACTTTGTCACTGTACATATTTCTCACCTTCTTTACCACAGGCTTGACACTAGGGGCTTTCTTTGGAGCCATGGTAGCTTATTTAGTACTTGCAAGCACTAAAATGAGTGGAATATTATGAAATATTTCGTAGGAGCACTTGAGGGGACCTTCACTCACTCGTAAATAATGCCAGACTGGCTGGGTAGGGAGATCTCCCCGGCTCACACCGTGCGTACACGTCCTGGACGAACTACTATTCGCGAGTCAACCTATGAAAAGCGAGTCCATGTTTATACGAAAATACCCCTATGATTGGCGAAATTTATGATTGCTGAGAACTACGAAAAGCGAGGGACCACTGTATATATATCTCCTAATTATCTTTATTCTAGTATCTTTCGGTAATTTTGCTTGTTCTAGTAGTTGGATCCTTTCCTTCCTCCAGGGTTAGAAAAGAACTTCTTCACTTCTCTCCACAAGGAAATATGCAGCAATAACAACATGTCATGTTTACGTCTTCTGCATTACCCACCCGTGCCAGACAACATCCCTGAGAACACCATCCGTTGTGGTGCACATACTGACTACGGCACCATTACCCTTCTTTTCCAGGACCATCTTGGTGGCCTCCAGGTCAGTTTGTAATTATTTAAATACCCACTTCATTCCCATCTCTCCTACTTCCTTTATCTTCCTTCTTCACTGTGGAACTAATCATCTACTCCGAAAGAAGATAGGAAGAAATCTTCTGCTATACATTCCTAATGTATAGGTAAAAGGACACAAGTGCAACTATTATGGCAACCTTTCGTTCTCTAGGAGCTGTGTCAAGCCGTTAACAAAGCTCCTGCAGAGCGAATCGTTGCCACAATAAAATGTCACAGTAGTTGCACTTGTAATTTTATCAACATTAATACTATACATAACACGTATATAGTTTACTAGTATTCTCTAGCTAATGGCTTCATTACGAGCCAAAATATTATTTTAGTTGTTTAGAATCATAAGGCACGATTTTGACACCATTACTGTTTCTCATCCTAACAAGGAACATTCATAACCTCACAGCGAGGTCGGCAGCTGCTGTCGTCAAGATCATCAGGTCGAGCTCATCCTAACAGAAGACAGAGAAAAGTATTAGCGATAACTTCATGTCTTTCCTGGCGAATGATGCGACAATATTCATGAATGTTCACCTTAGTAGAAGACAGAAAAGTTACAAAGAGACATCGACAAAGTCTTCCAGTGAGCAATAGAAAATAAGATGATGTATAATGATGACAAATTTTTCAACTGAATAAATATAGAAAAATGTCGAACTCAAAAAAAGGTTAGGATAGAAAACCACACGTAGGCCTTTCCATATAGAAAACTTTCACTGCACGTATAAGTACCATCAAGCACCTAAATTACCTGTACTCTTTGGAACGCAGGCGAGAAAGATTATTGTTAATATATACTTGGAAAATCCTAGAGGGGCTAGTCCCAAATCTGCACACCGAAATCACTCCCTACGAATGATAGGTAGTAGATTCGCCTGTATATTCGCCCGGCCCGGGCCTTTTCCAAGATGTGGCCCGGTCTTAGCTCCCTCTCGTGGGAGTGTCTTCAGACCAATGTTTGCCATGGGACTAGCTGTCCCCAGGCCTAGCCCCATTCCCTGCCCCCACAGGGCTCGGAGGAAGAAGCTAGGCACCATGGGCTGCCACAAACTCCGCCCACACTGGGCTCGAAGGTTGTGGCAGCTGCGTAGCATCAGACAATGTCAGGAGGTGCAAAGGCAGCAAGCAACATCCCAGGTTTGGGCATTAACCCTTAAACTGTCCAAACAGATCTGTGTTCACATGCGTAGTGCTCCAAAAGTAGATCTACGTTTTCTTACATATTTTCAAATATAACAAAAAAACGTAGATCAAAGTTTTTTTTACACATTTTCAAATGTAAAAAAAACAAAAAGATCTACGTTCTTTTACATACTTTCAAATGTTGAAAAAACGTAGATCTACGTTTGGATAGTTTAAGGGTTAAGCCCGAGCTCTGGGGAAGCTCAAGAATGCCTCTTTCTGCGTTTGTCTCTCCCCAGTGAAAACCAGGGACGCCATGAGTATTCTAAGAGACAACATAATAAGTGTCAGAGGACCTAGACTATTCAACTGCCTCCCAGCATACATAAGAGGGATTACCAATAGACCCCTGGCTGTCTTCAAGAGGGAGCTGGATAGACACCTAAAGTCAGTACCTGACAAACGGCCAGCAGTAGCAGCTTGGCTGATCAGGCCCTGTTCTACCACGAGGCCTGGCCATACACCAGTCCGCGAGGAATACCTTCTGAATACCCTCCAGGTATACTCCAGGTTCAAAACAAAGGGAACAGGTAAAATACATGGGAGCAACATTGTCAGATGACTTATCCTCTATAGAACATAACGAGGTCTATCCAACAAAAACCAGGATATAAATGTGATGCAGCTGGCTGTCTAGGAAGCTCGGCCAAGGAATTTTTCCTGTGACTACCGCTCACAGGATGGGTAAAAGGTGCTTAATACAGTAACTATACTAACTCTACGCAGTGTGAGGATGCCGTGGACTGTGCTGGGGCGACTACTCTCATGGAATTAATATTGACACTGGTGCATTAGCTCTTTTGTCAGATTATTATTATAATCAAAAAGAAGCGCTAAGCCACAAGGGCTATGCAGCGCTGCAGGGTAGGGAAGGAAGCGAAGGTATTGGACGGCAGAAGGGAGGAGGGATGATCAGTAGGTTACAGAAAACAGCGGGGCAGGGGATAGTACGGGGGTAGAGGGTAGCAAGAGATTGAGGTAGAAAGGGCTGAAGGTATCAGAATTTGCGAAGTAAGTCAGTTGTTGTCAAAAAGTCAATGAGAGAGTCCTTATGAAAGGTGGGTCCATCAGCGAGAAGGGAAGGTAAAGAGAAAGCAGCAGAGCGAAGACGACGATGGAGGTAAATTCTGTGTGCTCGTTGATAAAGTGGGCAGTCCAACAGAATGTGGTTGACTGATAATGGAGCCTGGCAATTCTCACAGAGAGGAGCAGGGCGCCTCTCCATGAGATATCCATGAGTAAGGCGGGTATGGCCAATGCGAAGACGGGAGAGAATAGTCTCTCAACCTCGACACTGGTGATAAGAAAACGGCCAGTAACCTATACTCGGTTTAATAGACTGAAGTTTGTTACCGAGCATAGTAGACCAACGTTGTTGCCAACGGGTGTGAAGGTGGGAAGATATTGCAGCAAAATAGTCCTTAAATGGAATACCTCTATATGAAACTGGTAGGTCATGTACTGTTGACCGCGCAGCATTGTTTGCCTGTTCATTGCCCTGTACGTCAACATGACCAGGGACCCAACAAAAAACAATATATTTATGCTTGGTAAAGATGCGGCATAGCCAAAGTTGGATACGGAGGACCAAGGGGTGAGGTGTATCAAATTTCTGTATAGCTTGTAAAGCGCTAAGGGAGTTTGAGACAACCACAAATGATAACACAGGCATAGATGCAATACGGATAAGTGCTGCAAGGATGGCATACAATTCAGCAGTAAAAATGCTAGCCGAAGATAGTAAATGCCCTCGTATGACGCTTTCTGGAAACACTGCTGCGAATCCTGCGCCGTCAGAAGACTTAGAGTCATCTGTGTACACAGCAATGGCATGAGAATGAGAGTGGAAGTGGCCAAGAAAAAGAGAGCGGAAAGCGACCGTAGACAGTTGGGCTTTCGAGCAAGGGAGAGAGAAAGAACAGACTCGAACACCTGGAACTTCCCAGGGGGGTAGGGAAAAGTGAGATGCTACATGAACATAGAAAGGTGGTAATTGAAGAGAAGACAAGAGCGAATGAAGGCGAGGAGAGAAGGGACGGAGTAAACAGGGGCGGCGAACAAATAAAGAATGTCTACTAATATCAGTGACCATTCTATAAATGGAAGGATTGCGGAGATCATGAGAGCGTACATAGTAGCGAAGACAATGGGCATCACGGCAATCGGATAAGGATGGAACGTTCGCTTCTGCATAGAGGCTTTCAACAGGGGAAGAGTGAAAAGCACCAAGGCATAAACGTAATCCTTGGTGATGAATGGGGTTAAGGCTAGAGAGAGTAGCAGGAGATGCCGCTGAATAGATCTAGTCACCATAATCAAGTTTCGATAAAATGAGGGTGGAATGTAGGCGAAGGAGGGTTCGACGATCAGCTTCCCATGAAAGATGAGCAAGGGTTTTAAGAAGGTTCAGCCGGCTGTGACAAGTTGCCTTCAGAGAGGTAATGTGAGGTTTCCAGGATAACCTACGGTCAAAGAGGAGGCCCAGAAACTTGACTGTATCACCTTCAGGGATACGGGAGCCATAGAGGTGCAAAGGATGATCGGAGATGACTGAGCGTCTAGTGAAAGTAATTTGATGGGTTTTAGTGCCGGAAAATTTAAACCCATGTAAGGTGGCCCAATTGGAAACACGGTCGACCGCATGCTGGAGAGAAACTGTAATGAGGTGACAGTCAGCGCCTGCACAGGCAAAAGCGAAGTCATCAACATAGAGTGATGACCAAATATTTGATGGAAGACTAGAGGCCAAATCATTAATAGCAAGGAGAAAAACTGTTGTGCTCAGAACACATCCCTGGGGGACACCTTCAGCTTGGATAAAGTCTGGGGAGAGCACATTATTAACCCGAACACGGAAATATCTATCAGTTAAAAAGTTCTTAAGGAAGGATTGTAGATTGCCTCGGAGGCCCAAGGAGTGGGCTTTGGCCAAAATATTATACCTCCAAGTTGTGTCATATGCCTTCTCAAGGTCAAAAAATATGGCAATAACTGAGTGGTTATTCGCAAAGGCATCACGAACATACGTATCCAAGCGTAGTAAGGGGTCTATGGTAGAACGTCCCTTACGAAAGCCATATTGACGAGTGGAGAGACTGTTGTGTGTCTCTAAATACCACACTAAACGTCTATTTACCAGGCGTTCCATCACTTTGCAAACTGCACTGGTAAGAGCAATAGGACGATAGTGGGAGGCTTCATGTCCCGTAGTGCCTGGTTTGCGGAAAGGGAGATCAATGACAGATTTCCACAGCTGTGGAAGAACTCCTTGTGACCAAATAAGATTGAAAAGGCGTAATAGGACTGCAAGGGCTGACTGATGTAAATGTTGTAGCATACGAATATGAATGTCGTCCGGCCCAGCTGCCGATGATCGGCAAGCTGAGAGTGTTGCCTCCAGTTCTTGAAGTGTAAAAGGCACATTATACTGTTCTTCTCTGAGAGAAGAAAAGTCCAAGGGTGGTAACTCTCTGGTTGACTTTGAGGAAAGAAAAGAGGGGCATAGATGGAGCCCCTGAGAAATACGGACCAGATGATTGCCAATTTCATTGGCAACATTTAGTGTGTTTGCTATATCAACACCAGCAACCTGCAGAACAGGAGCCGGGTCAGGAGAATATTTACCACTCAGTTTTCGTACGTTCTTTCCAGACTGCACACATAGAGGAAGCAGAGGTGATGGTGGAGACATAATCTTGCCAGCAAGTGCGTTTAGCATCACAGATGACACGGCGAGCGATCACACACTTCTGCTTAAAATCAAGAAGTCTCTCCGTGGTTCTATTGTACTGGTACCTGCCCCATGCAGTGCGTTTCAAACGTACTGCACGAGCACAAGCAGGAGACCACCAAGGCACGCATTTCTGAGGATGCCTGCCCGAAATTTGGGGTATAGAATGAGAAGCTGCGGTTAAAACGGAGGACGAGAAGAGGTGTAAAAGCTCATCAATGGAGGATGAAGAAGGAACCTCACTAAAAACAGTTAGCAGTGAGTAAAGGTTCCAATTTGCCTGATCAAATTGCCAGCGTGGGATACGAAGAGGTGGTGAATATGAAGGGGAAGTAAGAATGATTGGGAAATGATCGCTGTCATGTAAATCCAGGAGAACAGACCAGGTGAAGTCTAATGCGGCGGAGGAAGAGCAGACTGAGAGATCGATGCAAGAGAGAGTATGAGTCCGAGGATCAAAATGGGTGTGAGTACTTGTATTTAAAACATGGAGGGGGTTGGTGGCAAGAAAAGCTTCTAACTGAATGCCACGGGAATCACAGTGAGACCCCCCCCCAGAGGAAATGATGGACATTAAAATCGCCAAGTAACAGAATCGGGGGTGGTAATGACGAAACAAGAAAGACAATATCCGGAATAGATAATGCCCGAGAAGGAGAGAGATATAAAGAACAGAGCGTATACCACTTATGCAAGTGGATATGGGCTGCTGTGTAATGCAGCAAAGTACGAACAAATAGCTGATGGTATGGAATATCAGTGCGTAGAAGAAGGGCACTTTCATTAAAGGTCCCATCAGGAAAAGGATCTGAAGAATGGGAGAGATAACAGCAGAGTGTAATTTTGGTTCCTGTAAGCAAACACCAACAGGGGAAAACTGGGAGAGTAACATCTGAAGCTCACCCCGATTACCCCTGAGGCCACGTATATTCCACTGTAAATAGGCCATGATTGGCAATGATAAAGATACCTGAAATCCGCAGGTAAGGGTTCCTATGGACTAGAGGGGTTAGAAAAGTCCACATGCAGAGGCAGTGGAAAACGTTCAAGCAGCGAAGGAACGGTGCACTGTGAAGAAAGGAGTTGCGCAGATGGAGTAGAGGAGAGAGAAGGAGCGGAGGGTGGATCAGTGTCCATTGATGGTTTGGTCTCTGCAATATATTCAGAGATTGCTTCAAGTGTTTCAGAATTCAGAGATGTCGTATGGGAGACAATATTGGAAATGGTAGGGGGAGGATGAGTAAAGATTGGAACTGTAATGGACTGTACCAAGGTAGGGGGGGCGAAAGGGTGAAGGGAACTGGAGAAGAAGCGTGGAAGGGGACAGAAGAGGCAGAAACCTGGGAGGTGGCAGAAGAGGAAGAAACTTGGGAGGGAACAGGGGAGGTAGGTATAGTACGAGGAGGAGGATGAACCTCTACACTTGTAACAGAACCAGTGAGAGGGGAAAAAACCCGTAAAAGAGACAGGGAAGGTAAAAATGAGGAGGTGGAAGAAGGGAAGGAGGGGTTAAAGGACCTTTTTTTGACTTCTGAGAAGTAGAGGGACAATTGGGAGGAGGTGTCGTACGAGGTCTCTTCGATACTGAGGCTTGTGAGGGAGAACACGAAGAAGCGAGAACAGACTGCGGCATTGAAGTAGGGATGTCTGAGCCTAGGACAGCAAAAGAATTAGATACATGAGTGACTATGGGAGAGGTAACCACAGAGGAGGTTGCAGAAGATGGGACCCCAGAAGTAGTGGGGACGTTTTGAAACACGGGAGTAAGAAACACGAGGTAGTCTCCCTTTGGAGGCAGAGATGAGAACTGCCATGGCAAAGGGAGACCTTTCTGCCTCTTTGAGGTAACGGATTTCCCGCTCATTAAGTAGACTTGCAACGGCGAGAGTACGAAGGTGAGCCTCATGACAATAAGGCAAAGGGAGGTCGATTGCAAGATGTTTAAGAAGTCATCAGCACCACAGACTGGGCATTCGGCTATGGATCTGCAATATTTCGCTGGATGGCCAAATCGCCAGCAATTTCTACACTGTTGCAGTGTAGGATTACCTTTCGAACTTGTAACCTATGTCCTCTACATAAACTGAGGATGGGAGTTCACAGCTGTCAAAAGTTAAACGAGCCACATTGCTAGGGTATCGTCTCCCGCCCGCGGGCAGGAAGAACATAAGTGTCTACCTTGAGGATTGGAGATCTTGGAGTTCCAGCTGTTCAGAAGTCTTTGCCACATGTCGGGAAATTTTGTTGAACTATGGTATGGGGCAGAATGACGTACCACTACAAGAATTGAAGGAATGATGTTTTCAATAGTGACGGGAACAGTATCTATATGGGAAAGAAGAGAAAGATCATGAGCTTGGGTAGCATTCATACCGTGAGATGTGCGTACCGCTCTTAAGAGCATGAAAAAAAATATCTTTACCAACATTGCGTAGGAGTGCCTTGCCAATACTGTGGTCGGAAAGATAGGTGTAGAGAAGTCGGGTCGAAAAGTGAAGAATTTAGTCCATTGTGCAGTCTGAAACTGAGCGTGGAAAGGAGTGCAGGACGTGTCGATTTTTTTCTGAAAGAACGAAAAGGGAAAGTATCTCCAGCGGTAATTGTCGTTGGCGTTTAGGCGTGGGACCAGAGTTTGGCCCCGATGTGGAATGGGCCACGATTCGAAAATTGCCGCACCATAGAGTGAGAGGCCGGAAGCATAGTCAAAGGAGAGCGGAGGTCAGATAAATCAAAGGAGTCAGTCAAGACCTTAGTACCTGAAGCGGGTGAGGAAACAGCACCGGCAAGAGGTACAGAGGCATGAGGGAGTGTCCGAAGAGTGGTCCAAAGATGGGGCGGGGTCAGAACGGGGTGCGGTATCAAGAAGGGGCCCGGGGGTACCAGGTTCATGGATTGGGTTCTCCATGGTTAGGTTACTTCTTTCTTTTTGTTTTTAAGAAAAAAAAGAAAGAAGAAAATAAAATAAAAATAAAAAAAAGAATAAAAAAAGGGGGGACCGGGGAGGGATAGTTCCTAGGAAGAATGAAAGGGTCAGAAATCTCCCTCCGCGCCCAAGAGGACCTCAGCACTGCGAGTAGCGTAGATGCAGCATGGAACCCGTGCCATACCCTACCCATCATGCCAGTAAACCAGCAATCCGGGATAGCAACCTCACATCTGCCGAGCTACCTCGGTGGACAAAAGAGAGAGCGGCCAGATATCTGCCACATCTTTTGTCAGAAATGTATTAGTTTTATTGTGGCGAATGACAGTGATACTGCCTAGCCAGTCCAGTAAACCGGTCTCTCGGGACAAAAAAAAAATGCTTAATTCCCATGTGCTGCCTCTCTTCAAGGTTCATGATCGGAACGGGGACTGGGTTGAGGCTACCCCTATCCCTGACACTATCCTCATCAACGTGGGTGATCTTCTCCAATTCTGGACTGCTGACAAGTTCATTGCTACGGTTAGTGTTATGTAATTACCTGTTTATAGCTACAGCAGCAGAGCTACGTTCATGGGTTCCAATATTAGTTAATTCATCAAAAGATTTACAATTTTCAATGGTTGTATTACTTACTGTCTTTTTTAATCCATACCATTGTTGTACCTCTCTGCATGAAAATAGAACTCGTAATATCCTAAGAGCACCACTTTTGTCTCAATTTAGAACTGTAGTTTCTTATTCTGCTCGTTACAGCTATGTAGATATTGTATGCGATTTTGCATATCTTGTGTAAGGGGTGCACTGGTCGCCGTTGCCCAGCGGTGAGAGTAGCCACTCTCATTGCTGAGGTCCAGGTAATAAACCCTGGAGATTAACATAAAAAAAATAAAAAATTGTGTAAGGGGTCACACAGTTACAATATCTTTTCTTCCAGTACCTCTTCTTGGTCCCACTACTTTCCTTGCATATAATTTCGTTTAAAACCTTTCTTCAGTGTGTCACTGTAATTTCCTCTTTTTGCTGCTCGCCTTTCTTTGCTTGACTTCCTTAAAGTATATACAAATCCTACAATAATAAATGGTTTTAATCATAACCATAATTTTTAAAAGGATGGACCGGTAAGCCAGCGGAAGGCCTCGGTCAGATAACCGAGAGCTCCAGCTGTGGGTCATCATATGACTAAGACCCGCGTCAGAAAAGACTTGTCCTATTTCTTGACAAATCTTACGTAACCTAAGCTAACCTAACTATACTCGGCAGAATTACTGGTTCCCGTCTTCTCGGGATCTTTCATAGCTTCTTAAACTGTGCATGAAATTTGCCTTCATCACTTTCTCAGTGTACGTGAGTGTGTTTGTGTGTGTCCCTGTTTTTATCTGTGTGAAAGAGGGTAGTTTGACTTTAGATGATTAAATTCATATGATTTACAATCGTAACTAAAAAAATTAACATTTTTTTTTACGTGTTGGTGCATCCAGGAGCACCGAGTAGTGATTCCCAGAGAGGAGCGCCTCCAGAAGACACCACGTCGATCCGTTGTTTTCTTCGTCCACCCAGACAACTCCGTCCTCATCACACCTCTTGACGGCTCTTCCACCTACCAGCCCATCTCTGCCGCCGCCCACACTCTCAACAGATTCAAAAGCACCTATAATTACTAACAAAAAATAACCCTCTGTACAACTGAAGAGCCTGATTCCTCTGTGCTATTGACGAAGATGACTTCCTTGTTCGGCTTACTGAAGGTGACCTCTGTTCTACTGCCTAGGGACACACGCAGCCATATCACGTATAAGTCATAATCAGGCATAAAATTATAGATTAGGTAAGATACGTCAGAAACAAGACAACAAGACAATTGTTTATTATTTTTCTTCTAAAAGAAGCTTACGAAAGGAATTAGCGAAAAAGCTTGAAAAAAGTATGGCAGTAAGAATAGGAACTAGGAGATTCATTATCCATCATAATAAAATGTATCAAGTTAAACATATCTATGGAGAAAGTAACAAGGTCAGTAGATTGCAAGATGTTGTTACTGCTAGGCTAAGGCTAGGTTTTAAGTATATCTGTCACTACAGCTTGTATGGAGATGTCAATGATATACCATGCAAAGTGTGTAGACCGAGACAGGGCCATACAGTGGAACACTTTATATATTAGTGTGTCCAAACATCCAACCTTTCAGAGGCACCTCCATGCAAACCCTACAGGATATGGCGAAACCCCTCACTGTTAATAATAAGATATCTGAAACCTGGAGGGTGTATCCACATTTTGCAGTGATTTGATGAACAAATTATAGAGATTGTGTTTCGTAACAATTGCAACCCAGTTTTGACCATTTTTTTTTGTGGTAACAAGGATTTTTTTTTCATTTTGTATTCCTTACTGTGTTTAACATATATTTGAGGTAACTGAATAACTGTAATTTTTTAGTGATAATAAGGCATAAATTTTTTGAGATTGTATTCCTTACTGTATTGTGTACAACAATTATATGAAGTAATTGTGAAATATGACTAACGTTTCTTTATAGTGGTATAACAATGCTTAATGAGGTCTGACAAAGACCCTTTGTGACCTTTGTAATTTTTTTTTACGCTGCCGCTCACAGGATGAGCAATGGATGCACAATAAAACAAGCCGCTCAAGCGGCGCATCTAACTGAAGAGAGTTTTAGCCATATGTTTGGCAACGGAGCTTCTGGTCATCTGACGGAGGTATTCCGCTGGCTTACGAGTCCACCCCTTTAAAAATTCATATCGACTGTGTCATAAAACTATGCACAATATAAAGAAATTATTTTATTATGCAAATTTCATTATTATTATTATTATTATTATTATTATTATTATTATTATTATTATTATTATTATTATTATTATTATTATTTTATATTATTTATTATTGGTTGGTTAGGTTAATGGAGTTTAAAGCCTAAAGACTATACTATGGTTATAATAATGTATGAAATCGTTTCACAACCAAACAAGAATATTTTAATCCCTAAAACAAACTTTAAATTTAACTCATCATATTTTCACTGAGAGAAATATATCTCCAAGTTTATTATTATTATTATTATTATTATTATTACTATTATTATTATTATTATTATTATTATTATTATTAGTATCAGTGACAGATTCGAGGTTAAAGTTGAAGACCAGCTAACAGATAATGAAGGCATATTTTTGTATTACTAATATAACGGTGCGCCTTGAGAAGGCAACATGCAGTCGTGAGATTATCAAAAATGAAGTTTGTCTTGGGTTATGTTTCTAATAACTAAACTCATAATCTGTTGTGTCGTAAGCATTAACAAGTAGTTAATATACAATGGTGAGCGTCTTGCACGTGAAACATTATGAATTATAATGTAATAAATATTATATATACCAAGAGGTGTGCGAACATTGATATATACACCGAGAGGCATTTGTCTCTCAGTGTATATACACACCGAGAGGCATTTGTTTCTCAGTGTATATACACACCGAGAGGCATTTGTCTCTCAGTGTATATAGACACCGAGAGGCATTTGTTTCTCAGTGTATATACACACCGAGAGGTATTTGTCTCTCAGTGTATATACACACCGAGAGGCATTTGTTTCTCAGTGTATATACACACCGAGAGGCATTTATTTCTTAGTGTATATACACACCGAGAGGCATTTGTCTCTCAGTGTATATACACACCGAGAGGCATTTGTTTCTCAGTGTATATACACACCGAGAGGCATTTGTCTCTCAGTGTATATACACACCGAGAGGCATTTGTTTCTCAGTGATAACACACCGAGAGGCATTTGTCCTCTCAGTGTATTTCACACCGAGAGGCATTTGTTTCTCAGTGTAAAAACACACCGAGAGGCATTTGTTTTTCAGTGTATAAACACACCGAGAGGCATTTGTCTCTCAGTGTAATTCACAAACCGAGAGGGATTTGTTTCTCAGTGGGATATACACACCCAGAGGCATTTTTCAGTGTATAAATACACACCGAGAGGCATTTGTCTCTCAGTGTATAACACAAACCCAGAGCATTTGTTTCTCAGTGTATATACACCGAAGGCATTTGTTTCTCAGTGTATATACAAACCGAGAGGCATTTGTTTCTCAGTGTATATACAAACCGAGAGGCATTTGTTTCTCAGTGTATATACAAACCGAGAGGCATTTGTTTCTCAGTGTATATACACACCGAGAGGCATTTGTTTCTCAGTGTATATACACACCGAGAGGCATTTGTTTCTCCCGTGTATAACACACCGAAGGGCATTTGTCTCTCAGTGTATATACATACCGAGAGGCATTTGTTTCTCAGTGTATATACACACTGAAAGTTTATGTGAAACCCAATTACTTGACGGGTGGTGAACAGGGTTACATGCAGCCGCTTTGATTTTGGTGTGATCGACAGGCAGTAACCAGTTAACTACTCAACATATGTAATATTATATATATGCGTGTGTGTGTGTACTCACCTAATTGTGGTTGCAGGGGTCGAGACTCAGCTCCTGGCCGTGCCTCTTCACTGATCGCTACTAGGTCCTCTCTCTCTCTCTGCTTCCAGAGCTTTGTCATGCCTCGTCTTAAAGCTATGTATGGTTCCTGCCTCCACTACATCACTTGCTAGGCTATTCCACCTCCTGACGACTCTACGACTGAAGAAATACTTCCTAACATCCCTATGACTCGTCTGAGTCTTCAAACTTCCAGTTGTGACCTCCCTTTTATCTGTGTCCCCCTTTTTGGGAAAAACCTGTCTCTCTCTACCTTATCTATTCCGGGCAGTATCTTGCATGTCGTTATCAAAGTTTACCCTGATCCGCCTGTCCTCCAATGGTCGTCAGTCCGATTTCCCTCAATTTTTCTTCGTAGGACATACCCCTGAGCCCGGGACTAGCCTTGTTGCAAACATTGCACTTTCTCTAATTTTCTTTGGCGTGTTTGCCCAGGTGTGGGTTCCAAACTGGAGCTGCCCGTACTCCAGTATGGGCTTGATGTACAAAATGTACAGTGTCTTGAACGAATTTCCCTTTCTAAGGTAAACGGAACGCTATTCTCAGGGTTTTACAGCACCCATATGCTGGCAGCAGTTATCTGGTTGATGTGGCCTCCGGGGACATGCTCGGTGTTATGGTCACCCCAAGAAATTTCTCCTTGAGCGAGGTTTAAAAGTCCTTGGCCACCTAGTTTGATACTCTGTCTGCGGTCTTCTTTGCCCTTCTCCGATCTTCATGACTTTGCATTTGGCAGGGTTGAGTTCAAGAAGCCAGTTGCTGGACCACATGCCAGGGCCCGTCCAGGTCTCTTCAAGTCCTGCCTGGTCCTCATCTGATTTAATTCTCCCCATTTAACTTCACATCATCTGCGAACAGGGACACCTCTGAGTCTATCCCTTCCATCATGTCATTCACATATACCAGAAATAGCACTGGTCCTAGGACCGACCCCTATTGGGCCCCGCTTGTCACAGGTGCCCACCGTGATACCTCATCCCGTACCATGACTCGTTGTTGCCTCCCTGTCAGGCATTCTCTGGTCCATTGTAGTGCCCTTCCTGTTACATGTGCCTGTTATACGTGTGTGTGTGTGTGTGCTCACCTAATTGTGGTTGCAGGGGTCGAGACTCAGCTCCTCAGTTTGTGTGTGTGTGTGTGTGTGTGTGTGTGTGTGTGTGTGTGTGTGTGTGTGTGTGTGTGTTTTGTGTGTGTGTGTGTGTGTGTGTGTGTGTGTGTGTGTGTGTGTGTGTGTGTGTGTGTGTGTGTGTGTGTGTTCATGTGTGTGCGTGTATGCCAAGCCTAATAGGTAAAATTGGTCAATTAGCAAAAACTCACTTAAATTAAGGCCTTTCTAAAATCTTCTCTTATACGCTTAAAGATATATTTTTTTCATTGATGTTAATGTAAAAATTAATAATTATGTACCAAAAGATCCTTAGAAAACTTACCTAACCTTTTTATAACGAGCGCAATTTAATTTAGCCTAATTCAAGTAAATATATTTTAGATAACTTTACAATAATTTAATAATAAACAAACACAATGAAATATATTTTTTTCGTTAGGTTCAGAATGATTTTTGCGACATTATCAATATATATATATATATATATATATATATATATATATATATATATATATATATATATATATATATATATATATATATATATGTGTGTGTGTGTGTGTGTGTGTGTGTGTGTGTGTGTGTGTACTCACCTAATTGTGGTTGCAGGGGTCGAGACTCAGCTCCTGGCCGTGCCTCTTCACTGATCGCTACTAGGTCCTCTCTCTCTCTGCTTCCAGAGCTTTGTCATGCCTCGTCTTAAAGCTATGTATGGTTCCTGCCTCCACTACATCACTTGCTAGGCTGTTCCACCTCCTGACGACTCTACGACTGAAGAAATACTTCCTAACATCCCTATGACTCGTCTGAGTCTTCAGCTTCCAGTTGTGACCTCTTGTATCTGTGTCCCCTTTCTGGAACAACCTGTCTCTCTCTACCTTATCTATTCCGGGCAGTATCTTGCATGTCGTTATCATGATTACCCTGATCCGCCTGTCCTCCAATGTCGTCAGTCCGATTTCCCTCAACTTTTCTTCGTAGGACATACCCCTGAGCTCCGGGACTAGCCTTGTTGCAAACATTCGCACTTTCTCTAATTTCTTGGCGTGTTTGCCCAGGTGTGGGTTCCAAACTGGAGCTGCCCGTACTCCAGTATGGGCTTGATGTACACAGTGTACAGTGTCTTGAACGATTCCTTACTAAGGTATCGGAACGCTATTCTCAGGTTTGCCAGCGCCCGTATGCTGCAGCAGTTATCTGGTTGATGTGTGCCTCCGGAGACATGCTCGGTGTTATGGTCACCCCAAGAAGTTTCTCCTTGAGCGAGGTTTACAGTCCTTGGCCACCTAGTCGATACTCTGTCTGCGGTCTTCTTTGCCCTTCTCCGATCTTCATGACTTTGCATTTGGCAGGGTTGAGTTCAAGAAGCCAGTTGCTGGACCACATGTCCAGCCTGTCCAGGTCTCTTTCAAGTCCTGCCTGGTTCTCATCTGATTTAATTCTCCTCATTAACTTCACATCATCTGCGAACAGGGACCTCCTCTGAGTCTATCCCTTCCATCATGTCATTCACATATACCAGAAATAGCACTGGTCCTAGGACCGACCCCTTTTGGACCCCGCTTGTCACAGGTGCCCACCGTGATACCTCATCCCGTACCATGACTCGTTGTTGCCTCCCTGTCAGGCATTCTCTGGTCCATTGCAGTGCCCTTCCTGTTACATGCGTCTGTTATACGTGTGTGTGTGTGTGTGCTCACCTAATTGTGGTTGCAGGGGTCGAGACTCAGCTCCTCAGTTTGTGTGTGTGTGTGTGTGTGTGTGTGTGTGTGTGTGTGTGTTTGTGTGTGTGTGTTGTGTGTGTGTGTGTGTGTGTGTGTGTGTGTGTGTGTGTGTGTGTGTGTGTGTTCATGTGTGTGCGTGTATGCCAAGCCTAATAGGTAAAATTGGTCAATTAGCAAAAACTCACTTAAATTAAGGCCTTTCTAAAATCTTCTCTTATACGCTTAAAGATATATTTTTTTCATTGATGTTAATGTAAAAATTAATAATTATGTACCAAAAGATCCTTAGAAAACTTACCTAACCTTTTT